ACCAAATTTTATTAACACCGAGATAAAATAACAATATTTAAACCCTACGAATAGAGAGGCTCTCGAATAATAAATACAAACAAATAATAAAAATATAATGTAGTGTGAATGAAAAAAAAAAAAATAAAATAAATTTAAACGACAGATGTTTAAAAATGCGAGAACAAAAATGAAACCATAAGGATTCACATTCTTAAGCTTTTAAAAATATCCCTGCCTTTATTACACGGGCAAACTCGTAGAAGACTTCTCGTGGCGGCGGCACGTTGATCCAAAGTGTCAGCTTTAAAATCCCGGCGGACATTCGCCTTAAGTATATTACTGACATACATCACCCTACTTAATACTTTCTCGTCGTGGTCGTTGAGAGCGTACCGAAATTGCCAAAGTTATAAAGTTACAAATTTTCTAAGTCTCTCCGAATTTCTAGGAATGTCCTTGGAATGTGACATCTATCTCTCTCGTTTTTTCTCTTTCTTTCTTACGCTCTACTTCTTCCCTTCCCTTATTACCACCCTTTCTTAGTCCTCAGTTTCTCATCCTATCCCCCAGTTCTATTTGACTTCTATTCCTAACAAAAAACGCCCTGACTCGAACAAAATTGTTACGAAATACCTAACAACAAAAATATCAAATAAAATTAAATAAAAAACATTTGTTTGTGCAAAAGAGTTTCAAGAAGTTTATTAACGTTTTAAACAAGGATAACTTTTTAAATACACATCGATTCGAATTATCGCGAAACAAGAGTATCATTTTCGTTAAAAATATGACTTTGATGCGAGGATTTGTCCTGTCAACGATTAATATATCTCTTTCGTGTTCTTTTAATTCATATGTTGGAATTTTTTTTTTGTCTTCTCTTCACATATTGATAGATATATTAATATATTTACACACACGTATACACATATATTTCATGTTTTAATACTGAATACTATTATGATATTTTAATAGCAATGAAATTGAACCATGGTCGATTTAAATCTTCTGAAAATTTGTTAAAATTGTTTCATCCGAGTTTGAAAAAGAATCTCGTCAGATTGTAAACATCGATAAAACAAATTTAATTCTCGCAACCATCAACTTAGCGAAATTTATTCGTGAAAATATGAAATTACACGATAATACAAGCATACGCGGGGAGGGGGGAGGGGGGTATATAAAAATCAACGATAATGATGATTTGCATTACGTTAAAGAAAACGAGAATGACGATACGAGGAATGGTTCAAATAATCAAATGTTCAGCTATTTCGTTGAGTATTAAATGTTTTTTTCTCTCTTTCTTTTTCTTCTCGTTTTTGCATTACAAAATATTAATCATAAGTTGAAATGTGTTTGTCAGTAACATTAGTATGCGCTCGGAGGACGGTAAAAAATGAAAAAACGCACATCGACGTGTAAGACACTCATACAAGCAAAAAATCTTCTCACTTGAAGGTCAATATATTGCACATCGTTAGATTCGTTTTCTTATATAACCTTGAAATTTTGAAAAAAAAAAAAATTCGACTGGTCACTATATCGGCGCCTTCGAACAGAATATTTGTTTCCTTTGACATTTTTTTCTATTGTACGAAATAAACAAGATATTTTATATGGTTGAGTTAAGCGAAGAACTCTGTATACTAATCTCTCAAAAATTTTCATTGGTTGTTCATTTCGAAAATTGATTCCATCATATTTTCACTTCACATTTAATTCATTCACGATAAATTTTTTAAACAAGTTACAATATTAAATTACTTATAAATCATATATTTCCGCGATAATTCTTTAAAAATATATATATTTAATATTATATTTTCACATTAGAATAGAAATAGTCACATTGCAGGACTACTCCCTTTAAATATATAACATTTATCTTATTTCAAATATATTCTAATCAGCTTTATAAAATTTACATTCATTATTTACATACACGACCGTACTCATACTTCCATATATACAGTACATACACATACATACATACGTGCATCGATACTTACATTTCTGTACAGATCGAATAATCCGACTCACGGAGGTAGGTAAAGTCATCATTGTAGCACGTCAATCGCACGAACGGCATTGGAATAAAACGAAGCTGAGTTGCATGTACTTGAACGACATAGCGTCGACATAGCAAAGGTTTGACGTCGCTGGATTCCGCGTGCGTATCCTCAACGTTAGTTGAGATATCGACATGTTCACGTTATCCTCACACACTCACTATCTCACTCTCTCACACTATTTCTATCTCTATATCTATCGCGGGTCAGCTTCAACACTATTCTCGCGAGGGCATCGATTTCCCCATAAATACGCGATCATGGTAGCACATAGACAATCCAGAGACGACGTACAGGGTGCAAAGAGGATATCAAGAGGGTGTATGATAGAAGTGTAAAGGGGTAAGTGAAGAGAGGAAGTATGAGAGAGTCCTTCTTCCAAACCGTATTTCTCTTCATACGTAGCATCAACTCTCTCCCTATATTCATAGTCACGGTCTTGATTAATCTAATAGAAAACCCAAACACGATAGCTTAACGTATACCATAGATGTATCATCCTTACAACTACTCAAGGAAAATCCGAGAACATTAAACCGTCGGATATCGCATTTGGTAAGGGATAAGAAAACTTAACATCTCCCTATACTAAACTACCCACTATATCTACAACATAACTAAAGGCCATACTTCGAAATATGGGTTAATAGGGGATGAGATGTTCTTCCCTGCATTCAGCACGTGCTGTCACGGATAAAAAAAAATATAAATAAAAAAATAAAAAAAATATCTTCTCTTATTGAACGTAGTCACACACGCGCAGTGAATTAAAAAATATGGCCATAGTTTAAGTTATTTAACGCAGAAAAACAAAAGAATTGATATTAAAATATGTTTGTCTTATTTCTTACCCTCAAATATCTTTCGATTATTATTATTAATTATTAATATTGTTTATTTATTTATTCATTTTTTAATTTAGATTATTTGTAATAATTGAAATTTATTAACAACTTTTAAGACACGTTCATTAGAACGAGAGAGATAAAATTATTGATCCGTTTAAAAAAAAATAAAATAAAATAAAATAAAAGAAACTTTAGGAATATTGAATTCAAATCTATATCGTATGTATATCACAAGTGTAAAATAGTATCTGGAGTTCACGATGACGATGGCTATGTCAAATAAATCATAGAACAACGTCGAAAAATGATATCCTGAATTTATCGCTACACGAATACACACGTCCGGGAGAAGAAAATAATTTACGATATAGAGACGTCGACGCATACTACGCATCTACCCTCGAAACAGTTCTTTTAACTTATTGTCAGTATCTCCGAAATTATTCCGCGGATAGATAATAAAAAAAAAAAAAACAAAAACAAAAAGAGAGAGTTAAAGAATAAGAATGAGGGGTGAAATGAGAAATATATGTATGTGTACATATATATATATATATGTATATATAAAGAGAAAGAGAGGGTTAAACCGCTAGGACGAGCTTTCTCACTCCGCGAGTATTATTATATTTCACCGGGGGTCTCTTCTTTGACCTTTTTTCTCGCTTATGCCTTTGTTTTGCCACCTCACCATTGTTTCGAGACAATATACGGTGTAACTATAACGACTGCCTCGGGATAGGAGGACGGCCAAGAGAGACGCGGTTACTTCTGAGAAATTATATAAGTTTTATTCTTTCCCTCTCTCTTAAAAAATATTCTCGTAACATGGTAGTCGTACGTTCTTCTCATGAAAAGTATTCACATAAATCGAGAGACCAAACATTTTCTAAAAGAATAATTGAAAGAAATAAAACACACACTTTTAATCGTATATAAAATAATATAGTATACTGTGCTGTGGATGAGTCAACTGAGACCTGCCCCGCCACTTTACAAATTTCTACTGTTTTATTGATAGTAACAAATATTTCGAATAAAAGTTGTTCGTTGTTGAGGAGCAAGCTATGCAACGGAAAACATTTATTTTCTAGTCGCGTAAGAGATTGGAAGGTAGTTGTCAGTTCTTTTTTTTTTTTTAAATAAAACTATGCTTTTTTCAACCCCCGATTGTAATCTTTTTTAAACACATAAAATGGTTCTTACATCATAAATACAAGAAAAACGATCATGGTAAAATGTTAATTCTATAACTTAGTTCGCATAAATATCGAAGTTTTTTTCAAATAATTAATAATTTTAATTAATTAACATTCACATTTAAACAATATTTCTTATCCATCGTATATAAAACTACATTAATTAAATAATTATACGTTTGTTCAAACAATATATACCGAAAAATGAACGGTAATTTCAATATATGTGTGTAATTTAAAATAAACATTATCATTAAGTTCGGAGTGGGGTGTTGACATCAATAATAATGGTAGCTATATTGACTTTGACATATAATTGCTCTTAGTATTCTTTTCGAACTCGACCTATAAACAACGAAACACTTTCTCTCCGTGCTCGTACACTTTAATATTTAATCATTTCAGGTAATTAATATTAATTTAAATAATATTCTGCTCTCCTGTATTGTATTAAACTGACACTTAAATAATACTTCACATTTTTAAATATTACATCATATATATATATATAACAAACGGTAGTTGTGTGTGTGTGTGTGTAAAATAATTTTAATTCGATATCTCGGTTCGTACAAATCTGGAAATTATTTTAAAAGTTTGCTTTGATTGTGAAATAATAATAATATTAGATTCAATCGGATTTTAAATAGTATAGTAATTTTTAATTTATGGATTTTTCAGCAATCTCCACGTAATGAAATAATGAGTTGATAATTCTTACGATCTATCGAATTCTTATTGTCCTCATTTATCTTTATTTATATCTTTCTGTCTGTTTTTCTTCTTATTTTTTTTCTTTTTAAGAGTTTGTTAACGTATTACCGTACCAATAGCTGTGCCGTTAATGTTCCAAATTGATTAATTTCACAAAACAAAAAGTAGGGGAAAAAAATTAAATTACATTCATTATTATATCATTTATTACTCAAAGATCATAAAATTTGTTGTCATTTTATAACATTAAGTATAATTATTAAGGAAATTTATTTTAAATCTAAAGAGCAAAGCATCAATAAAGTGCTTCCATACTAAACAAAAAATATTTAAGCCGGAGTTAATCCACTTGGCCCTGTGAACGGTTCATATATGTATACTCGCATTTTTACAAAAAAAAAAAATAACGAGTAGAACGATGTGCTAAAGAAAAAAAAGAACAATTTTATTTAAGTACTTTCACACAGTCCCTTGTGACACATATGTATATATATATATATAAATATACATAGTATCAAAGCAAACTCATATAATAAAGATTATCCGTTAAATCTTTAGCGAGGGATCTACTCTTTGCAAGTAATAAAGATAGTCCGGGATGACTTTATTGCGAGATCTTTTTAGCCATTGTTTCTCTGTCACTTGCTGGCCTTCGGTCGCAACGTTATTACAAAATTCGTTTTTTTTTCAACCTCTCACCCCGCTTTTTTCGATAAAAAAGATATAAATATTTATTCATCTTTATAGAATAAACAAAGAACAAAAAAAAAGCTATTCGATGTATCTTCAACGCCCACAGATATATATAGTATATAAATATGTAATAGATACATAAATATATATGAGGAATACTCTATTATTATTCGATTTCTTACACATTCAATCGGTATATAATCCTTTCAATATAAATAATCCTGGATGAGTTCGTTATTATCCAAAAGTCTAGGAATAATATCAACATAAAGCTTTGAAAAAGGGTTGGCACGGAAAATAACTATCGGGCAAAATTGGCTCTGGTTACTCGGCGAACATTGAACTGTTTGATATAAAATTCTGGCTCTGCTACGCAATTTTCAAAGAGTGCTGGAAACACTGGACTTCCCATTTGCATTTCTACACCCCTTCTCTTCTTCCTTCCCTCCCTTTTTCTCTCTCTTTCTTTTTCTTTCCTTTTACTTCTTTTTCTTCTTCTACTCCATCCTCCAATCCTACTTTTTCCGTCCACCCGACACCAACGCACTATATCTTCCAATTTCCGTTGAGATATCTTCACATCGCCGACTTTACTTGATCCACATGCTCATAGGAACCTTTCCTCGTACCACCAAAATGTTTTCTTGCGGCTGAGTCCATCCAATTGAAAAGCTTCTTGGACGAATCGTTTGCTAACGGAAGGATGAAAGTTTTGCGTACTACTACATTTTCAATCATAGCTATACTTCAAACGTTTCATAAAATGAAACACATATGTTATATTTCGTTACTAGTAATTTTAGTATTTTATCAATTGTCATTTTATATTATTTACTTTTTACCAAATTCTAATCATTTCTCGCGATTTATATTTATATATTAAAGCTACATAATTATATTTATAGTAGAGGAAGAGATTCACGACATGGGTTTTACAGAGAAACGTGGAAATAATTGAAAAATTAAATTAATTTTATTAACATCGTAAATTACTTCCTTAAGGCCTGAATACCTGTGTTAAGACTCCTAAACGTGTGCTGCTTAACGATAAATTAACTTAAAATTAGCAATAGTTCAATTCAGCTTGCAAACAAGGACGTTTTGTACGAAATGCTGATTGTATAATAACTATGATTTACTTATAAAACCTAACTCTCGCGGTTTCATAAATTCCTTTAAGATATCATCCGTTATTTTACTTCTGGCTTCTTGATGTTTAGCAACAAGAGGTTGTAAGACTTCGATTAACTCTTTCTTGATTTCTCCTGATAGAATTTGTCCACTGGTATAACCCTACGAATATTTAATTATATTATTATTTGTTAATCGTAAAATAAAATGATTTAATGAAATTATTTATGATTGCAAACTTACTTCTCTGATCTTCTTTAATTTTTCATCATCTTCTAAGAAAAATCGTAACCATTGATAGGAGACATCTACTTCACAGTTTCCACCTAATCGCCTGTGTTCTTCTACAGTGGCTTGTCCACCAGAAAATGCATACTTATTAATTTTATTCTTAATTTGCTTAGGTGTATCCGTTAAAAATACTGCTGTAAGATTATCGCTTGCAGACATTTTTGTTTTAGAGCCTTGCAATGCTGGAAAGAAAGTGGAGTGTAACAGAGCCGGTTTTGGATATCCAATTTTAGGCGTTACATCTCTTGTCATCCGAAAATATGGATCTTGATCTATAGCGCATGGTATTAAACAAGGAACCTTTTTATTTCGAAAAATAAAAGGAAATGTTCCAGAGATTGCCGGCGCAGCCTGCGTTGGTGGAAATGCGATCTTTCCAATAGGATCACTGTCACCGAAACCAAAAATACCCTTCACTTGATTATACGTAACACATCGTTGTATCCTTATCATATTTTGATAAAATGCTGGGTTATTTCCAATGTGTTCTAAATTAGAAAAGATAAATGTTTTAGCTAAATTAAAGCCACAAGCAATAATATCTTTCGCATTGTTATGTGCTAACTTAATAGCGCTTTCTATATCAATGTTTTTCCATATAGCTTTTTCATCATCCGTCAACTGAATCACCAAAGGAACATCAAAGACATCTTGTAACCACTTACAAAACATAAACGGTATCAAATGTCCTATATGCATAGAATCTGAACTAGGACCTCTACCCGTATAAAGATAAAATGGTTTTCCTTGTTCGTAAAGGTTTAATATAGTATGCATATCACGATGCGAAAAAAATATTCCTCTCCTTAGAAAATGATGAGGCCTTTTTTGCGTAATCTTTTCGAATCTATTTATTAATTCATCGTCTATCTTGGAACTTCCAAATTTTTCTGAAATAATAGAAATATTCGTAAATAAAATTGACAAAACTTGAAAATTGTACAAAAAGATGATTGTAAAATTTAGTAACGTCGAACAATTAAGACCAACATTTTAATTAAAATTATGCAAAATTTCTTGTCATATTAAATGCACAATTTACTACCTACTTATTAATTTATCATAATCAATTCCGGTGTCATTTTTGCTTGTAACATTCCACGGTGTTACAACATCTTCTTCGTCGCCAGTTCCATTTATGGAAAGTGCTTCGATTTCTACAATTTCTGTAGTCATTGTCAATTAAAATTAATTAATACTTTACACGGTAAATGTATTTGAAATGAGGCATGTGCACAGATAACACGTTGTTAAAAAAGTACACTCAGCACAGCTGTCACACCAACCAGTAACTTCTTTTTAGGTTATAGTTTTCACATAAAAAAAGAAAAATTCACAAATATAGACATTATTTTTAATGAAATAATCTATTATAATAAAAAAAAAATATATATATTATAAACAAAAAAAATCCGTAACAATAACCATTATAATATAAAAATCAGAAAATTTAACCATCAATTGACTTCAGTAGTAAGTTTCACTACCGACTCAAGATGGCACTAGAAACTTGAATATCACATTTTATCGAAATTTTATAAGAGTGAATATGTAATAATATATAACAATAAAAATAATTCAACTATACAATAATAATAATTAATAATTAATAATATTATAATTATAAATAACAAAATAAATATTATTATTCTCATATAATATATTACGCTTATATTTGAATCAATAATTAAAATTGTAATTTAACTATTTAATTGATTACTCTTTTGTTGTTCTAATTCGCAAATACTTTTATATTATGCAATATGCATTTATTTTTTTTATTTTACACGCAATATTCTTAGACCTCACGATAGTATCCTTCCGGTAAAATAAGTAATACACCGTCGGTATATCTTTCAGTTATCTCGTTCTACGTGAGATACATTTAAGATGTAATTTTCTATCACTTATATCTGACCTAAATTTAAATATCCTTTTTAAGGAGTTGATATTCAATGCATATAACACTAAAAACCTGTCTCTTATATGTATGTATATATATATATAAATTGCAAGAATTTCGGAGCTATAGTAGGAAAAAACAGCTTACAGTTAATAGGCGTATTTTTACTAGATTGTATTCAAAATGTTGATATTTCTTTATATTTGTAGTATAATCACTATATACGATACAATAGGTAAACAACATTATATTTTATAATGGTAGTTAATATTATCACGAAAAAAAAAATATTTTTAACTCTTATTTCTTTAAAAAAAACAGCCGATTCGACAGTTCCTAAAATTGTCGGAGGTTTACCCGCAGAAGAAGGACAATATCCACATCAAGCTTCTCTTCGTTATAAAGATAAACACTTTTGTGGGGGTTCCGTTTTAAATAAAAGATGGATCCTTACTGCAGCTCATTGTCTTGCTGGGTAAGTTTACGTGTTAAATATTCGTAACATATTCATAATAAAGAAATATTAGAATTAGAAACAATTCTTAGAGTGAACGAAGCGACGTATTCTAATGATTAAACGTAGAAAAATATTTGCGTATTATAGACATTATCCAATTTATAATTATGTCGTTAATTGAATGAAAACAGATTAGAAGCTAGCAATATAACCGTTGTACTAGGAACTAATACCTTAAACAAAGGTGGTGACATGTACCAAGCAAATGTAACAATAGCACACGAGGAGTATGATCCACGAAAAGTGAAAAATGATATTGGATTAATTAAACTCGATAAGGATATTGAATTTACTGAAAAAGTTAAACCAATTAATTTACCGATAGAAAATTATCAAAAAACTGACAATTATGTTACATTGTCAGGTTGGGGTAGAACGAGTGTAAGTATACTTTATATTATAATAATTTTATATTATATTAACTTTATGTTAAAAAAAAAAAGAAATAACTTAAAAAATATATATATATATTTAAAAAAAATTATTTGTATGTACTGTATTACCGACACATTTCAGTATCCTGGATATTCACCAAACGAGCTTCAGCATATTAAATTAAGAGTAATCGATCAAAAAAAGTGTGCCACAATGGTAGTGATTACCAGAATTCCCGTTACAGACTCTAACATTTGTACTTTAAATCAATTCGGACAAGGTGCTTGTCATGTATGTATTTTGTATTTATTTTTTATGTTGCTATTGAAAAAATGATTATAAGATATTTGAAATAATGCTCGATCGGTAATATACAGGGTGACTCTGGTGGACCTCTTATCAACGGAGACGAACAGATCGGAATTGTTTCATGGGGTATTCCATGTGCAAGAAATCTACCTGACGTTTTTACTCGTGTATTTAATTACCTAGATTGGATAAAAAGTCATATTAAAGAAGAGGAAAATCAAATATCTGAATAATATAACTATATACAACTTAAGAGTAATAAATATAAATAAAATAAATCAACAAAGATTGTTAAGTGAAGGAAAATAAAAATGAAAATCAAAATTTGTTCGATGTGCTTAAATATGTTCATCACCCTTATAGTTTTTTAATGCTTTATATCAACAATGAATCCAAACGTAATTCTTGACCGATTTAAGATGGAAATGTTCTCATTTTAATCATTAACTTTTTACCATTTAACAAGTTTTGTACTCCAGAACGAAATTTTTTAAACCAATTCTGACAAGTGCGTTCTATTAAACAATCAACACCATAAACTTCACATATCTTTTTGTGAGCCTCCACCGCTTACTTGCCTTTATGAAAATAAAAAAGTAAACTGACAGTTGTAAACAAAATTACACGAAATTGGTTTTTATAGCGACCTAAAGATATCGACTGCCAAATCTTAAAAGAAAAAAATTCTAGCATTGATAAAAGAATAACGAAACAAACATAACGCAAACTACTGGTGCAAACCGAGATTACTTTCTTGCCAAGCCAATAGTTCAATTAACACCCCCCTATCATTTAAAGCCACGAGCCGCTACTGGTAATAAGAGAGAGAGAGAGAGAAAATGAGAAAATAAGTTTTGAAATTGACTACTAGGTAGTGCTTCAATCAGCAGAGATTTTTACTCCAGATTTTGTTTCCCTTTTAAACGTTAACTAAATTCCCTACGCACGTTTACACGACAGCACTGGTTGTGTCTCGTGGCAGAATCGTAACTGTTAACCAAAATGAACTTAACATTTAAATATTTATGTTTTCTCTGTATTTTCGCTTTTGCGAATGCCGGTGGACCAACTCTAGTATTGCTTGATAACCTTGCAATCAAAGAAACACATTCCATATTTTTCAGAACGTTACAAGGTATACAAACACTCATATTTTCTGTCACTGACAGTTATGACTAATCTCTCAATTACTTTATATCAGATAGAAATTGAAGTAATATTTATAAAAAGAATTTTTATATTTACAATGAAATACACTTTTTCAATATTTTTATCTATGCACTTGTAATTGCAGATGGTGGATATAGTTTAACATTTAAATTAGCTGATGATGCTAGTTTACAACTTTCAAAGTATGGAGAATATTTGTATCAGCACTTAATTATTTTCGCACCATCCATAGAAGAATTCGGTGGTGCCTTAAGCGTAGACGTTATTACAGATTTTATCGATGGGGGTGGAAATGTATTGGTTGCAGGATCCTCTCAGTCAGGAGATGCGTTACGTGAACTGGCATCAGAGTGTGGTTTTGAAATTGATGAAGAAGGAGCTTCTGTTATTGATCATATGAATTATGATGTTTCAGACAATGGCTATCATACCATGATAGTGGCAAATCCAACTAACTTAATTGATGCTTCTGTCATCGTAGGAAACAAAAATATTCCTCCATTATTATATGAAGGAACTGGATTAATAGCAGATGCTAACAATCCTTTACTACTACGTTTATTAACTGCAGCTAATTCTGCTTATTCTTATAATCCGTACAATCCAATCAAAGAATATCCTCATGCTGTTGGTAAAAATACTTTATTAATCGGAGCTCTGCAAGCTAGAAATAATGCTAGAGTATTATTTTCTGGTTCCCTCTTCTTCTTTAGCGATGAAGCATTTACCAAATCAGTTCAAAAAGTACAAGGTAAAATATCAATTTGTATTAATATACACGCTAAAATATTTGTTCTAATGTAATATAAAATTTTGTATATTTAGGTGATAAGAAATATGAAAAATCAGGAAATGAAGCAGTAGCTAAAGCTATAACTAAATGGGTTTTTAAAGAAAATGGAGTAATACGAGTTTCTGCTGTTCACCATCATAGAGTTGGAGAAACACAACCACCTCCAGCCTATACAGTAAAAGATGATGTTGTGTATTCCATCGATGTAGAAAAACTGTCTGGTGATAAATGGGTTCCTTATGAAACTAACGACCTACAACTAGAATTTGTGCGAATTGATCCATTTGTTCGCATGACCATGAAGCCAACTGGCAAAGGGCACTATGAAGCAAGATTTAAGATTCCTGATGTATATGGAGTATATCAATTCAAAGTTGATTATACTCGCATGGGTTTGACACATTTATACAGTACGACTCAAGTGTCTGTTCGTCCTCTACAGCACACGCAATATGAACGTTTTATTCCAAGTGCATTCCCATACTATGTCAGTGCTTTTTCAATGATGGGAGGTGTATTTCTATTTTCTTTAGTATTTTTGCATTATCGAGAAGATACAAAAACTAAGTCTGAGTAACTTAATTAATGAATAAATCGAAATCACAATGAGACACTTTATAATATTACAACTTAAAGTTAAATAAATTGTTATAGATATTTTTTACTGTATACAATTATATTGTAAAAGAACTACCTTTTTTTACACGTACTATGTAAATTATAATATTTAATGTTATAAATATTGGAAAATTTTGTGAGTTAAACTTGTAATGTTGTAAAATAGATCGTATGTACTAATGAAATGAACAAAGTTATTAAAGTAACATAAATTTTAATATATGGGCACTAATATGGTAAACCTCTTCTTTATATGCAATGTAAAATAATTAAATTCATTACACTTGTATCATTGATATTGTGAATAAAAAAAATGGCACTGAACTAATGCTTTTAAAATTAATGTTTTAAACAAATATATATATATCATAATAATATTTTCCGAATACAAAATAAGCTTGAATATATATATAATAAAACTCAAAATTATAAATAATTTAAACATTATTAAAAAAATTAATAATAAAAAATACCTATATTATACTTACCAATCAGAATAAAGTTTAAGAAACAACAATTACTTTTATATAAACAATCATTAAAAATTAAGTTTTTTAAAAATAATGGTATGCATGTGTGTGTGCGTGTGTTTAAATTATAAACATTTAGTGATAAATATTGAATATTCGTTTAATTGATATCAACAAAATGTTCATTAACTTCAGTAGTACACTTGGAATTTTAACAAATCTAAAGAATGTGATTGGTCAAATTAACTGTAAAAAAAAAAGAAGACAAAGAATCTTCGACAAAGTGTCGCGTGTACAATACTAGTACGTATTTAATAGTATATTAATAAAATTATGCACATCCAAAAATTTTGATTATTAAAATCTTTTTCTATAAATATTCAATAAATATTATTGTGTGATTTTTTACAATATCGTGAATACTATATCAAATTATTATATACATAGGAAGTGCAACATAATTATAAATTAAGAAATAACAAAAATTTATTTTTTCTTTATGAATTACGTTATATACAAAGTATAATAGTTTCTTCTTCCATAATCTTCTTATTAATAATTTACAATAACAAATAATTTCTTTCTACGATTATCTTAAAACTTTATAATGCAACCAGAAGAAAATAAACGTAAAGGAAATTTCTTAGAACATACAGATAGTCCTGAAAAATTAAGAAAAGTTGGCCAGACTAACAGTAGATTTGTTGATAGTTTAATAGGACAATGGACAAAACATACCGGAATGCAAATTTCTTCAAAACAAGTACGTTTCATTCTAATAATTAAAGTTATTTTTATTGTTATTATTATTAACAATTACAATTTTTAGATTGAAGAGTACAGATCAAATATAGATACCGAACAAGTGAATAATCAAAATCTTAAAATACAAATTTTGGAAAAGAAATTACAAGAGGCAGAAGATAATATAATTACACTTTCTACCAATCTTGAGAATGAACTCAATGTTAAAGATGAAATATCAGAAAAGTTAGATATTAATATTTATTTCATTGTTATACGAAGCCACTCATTTGTCAAATTGATTAACTCCAAAAAAACAAAGAATATAAAAAAGTGATAAAGTTACATAAATTATCATATCATTTATTGTTTAATATGTTCACTATTGTGCTACGAAGAATAGATTCCAGCTACAGTTCAAAACTTATTTTTCACGTTGATTTCATGCAGTCACAAATGTGTAACTCAAGGATCTTAGTAAAAATCGGTGTGTCAAGATATGCGACATTGATAGCAAACATGCTAAAAGTGTTAAACTCATTATTAAGGAAATGAATTTTAGACATAAATATTTAAGCATCGATTAGATACTCAAGCACTAAGATTTTACAAAATTCTACAAGTGATGTTAATCAATCTTGACCTATAAATAGCTAATATCACTGTTTCTCAATTTCAATGTATTTCTTTTCATAGATTAACTTCTACATGGGAATCTATAGATACAATAACAAACTATTGTAATTATATGTCTGAGACTATGAAAGCATTTCAAGAACATATAAATCATTTAACAACTTTATATAATACTATAACAGATATGCAGAAAAAAACAGTAGAACGACAAGAACAACAAATATATGATATGAAAACAAAAGGTGTGTAATTTAATCAGGGCAACACGTATTTTATAATATTTATGCTCTTAATTAAATTATTAATTTTTCCCTACAAACGTAGATGCTGAACATCAGAAGTATATTACTCAAGTAGAAGAAAACCTTATGAAACAAGAAAAAAAGTAAATAATGTTTTTTATGCATTATAGATATGTGTTAGTTAACATAAAAATTATTGCATACAATAGTCTTATATTTTCAAATATCTTACAGAATACAAGAATTGATCTCGGTAAAACAAATATTGGAAGAACAAGCGAAAAATTTCGAAGAAAAATTAACTTTTGAAAAAAACTATTTAATAAGTCTTCATGCAGAAGAGAAACTAAAATTAATAAATGTATATTTTCTTATATGTTGCATACTAATACAATTAATAGTATTTCGAATGGTTTAATAATGTTCATAATTTTTTTTCAGGAACATGAAATTATTATAAATGAAAAGGATCAATTACAATTATCGATCAAACAAATGGAAGAGAAAACAAAAAATACGATAGATTTAATAACCGAAAAAGAAACGGCTATTACTAAATTACAAAACAAAGTAAATTCTTATATGTAAGTAATAATAAATACAAGAAAATATTGCATTAATTGAATATAATTTTTTTCTATATTTTATTTTTTATTCAGAAATCAGATAACATCACTCTCATCAAAAAATGCAGAATTAATTAAAAAACTCGAAAATGTAGAAAAAGAAAAAGAAAAAGAACTACAAGAAAAAGCAAACGAGGTTTGTAATAAGAAATATGATACGCAAATTTACACTATCGTCCATGATTGACAGCTTTTTGTTTTTTTTTAATATAGGTAAAACAACTTTTAGAAGTGATAAGTAAAAACAAAGAAAAAGAGAATGAATTATCTCAAGGTATTGAAAAAAAAGTAGAGCAATGTAGATATCTTGAGAATAATTTATTAGATACTAAAAATAAATTAGAACAAGCAGGAAATACTATACAACATTTGAAAAATAATGAAAATGCAACTATTACAAAACTTCAGAAAACAATAGATACATTGCAAAAAGAAAAGGCAGAAATGTATTCACAATATCAAATGCAAATTCAGG